CTAGAGAACTGAATAGAAAGTAAGTCGCCAGATCTTGTGGAGATTGCAGGTGGAAGAAAGAAGGAAAAACAAACAAAGAGGCATGTGGTTAAGACAGTGAAGGTTAATGTGACCTTCACCGCAAGATATCCAGGTGCAGTGAAACATGGAACAAGAGGTCACAGCACTCTGCACTGCTGAGTTGTTCAACAACAATTAGGGGAGGAGACATTGAGACATGGCAGGGAGTGGTAGACAGTGACAGGCAGCAAGCAGAGTGTGTGGGGAGTGTTCAGGCATGGGAAAAGGTCGGGGAGGAGGTCGTCTGACTACAGGGAATGCCAGGTCATGCCAGGGGTCAGGATTCTGGGATATGACAGAACAACACCGAGGGTCAAGGGTTTGACTCACCAAAGGAGGAGTGAAGGGCCAAGGCCCAAGGGGGAAGGAAGGAGGATGGGAGTCAGGAATGGCTAGCTGACTGAATAGAAGGAAGCAGCAGCCCAAATAGGAATGAGGGAGAATTGCAGAATTGAACAGGACAATGCAATAGTTGCAAGGTCTGAAGTCCAGAAAGTCCGAACTCAGAAGTCAAACTCCAGAATATTGGCAAAGGTAAATAAATGGAATTAGCTAACCAATACAATGGGGATAAGCAGAGGCGGGGTGAAAGTCTGGGGTTGGAGCTAAGACCAGAGGTTCCGGAGATGGAGATGTGAACAGGATTCTGGAGTGGAGGTCCAGAGTTGGGAGCATAGATGTTGCATGCTCGTCTGAGGTTGAGGTCAGTCCCCTGTCTAATCAAAGCTCTATACTGCCTAGATTCCAGACAGCTTGAGGACAGCAAGGGTCAACACCAAGGTTGGAACCTCAACTGACCTTTCACCCCCCAGCATTAACAATGACTAGGTTTCTTGGGAACAGTCTTATCATTGCAAACTATGCACAGTCCCTGACACAATAATAACATTCATTGAATAAAGTTTAATTCAATTTTCTACTTTTTTTCTTCTCTTTGTATGCATTGCATATGCAATGCAAGGGGGGAAAATGTCAGGGCATTAGCCCTGCACCCCCAAGACACATGTACTAGGGTGTATTTGTAGTCACTGTTACAGGAATGGGTTCCAGGGAACCCAACCTGAGCTGTTCTGCTCATGGATGGAGGTGGCTGCATAGCCATTGAGGGGAGAGCAGGAGGAGATCTGAGGCCAGGTGTACTAATGGTAACTTGGCGCTCCGAGGAGCATACTGGCAGCAGGTGTGGTGGTCTGCTAACAGTAACTTGGCACTCTGAGGAGTGTACTGGCAGCAGGCATAGTGGGGGCTCCTTGAGGGAGCCACCTAACAGTTGGCTAGTGGTGACTTGGCACTCATGTGAGCGTACCAGTAGTGTGGGTAGTTGGCACTCCTTGAGGGAGTAGCCCAGTGGTTGACTATCAGTTACTTGGCACTCAGGGGAGCATACCAGTAATGGGATTTGTTGGGACAGGCAGGTTGGTTGACCAGTGCACGGTAGTGAGTGACCGTGGGAATTTGGGCCTGCGGGTATGTGGCCAGACATCCTGGGGCTGCCTGAGTCACTTCTCCCTCCCAAGAAGGGAGGATGGGTTGTAGGACCCAGTAGGGTACTGCAGGAAGGATAGGAACGGGAGCTCAACCACCCAGTGGGGGGTGGGAGCAGGAAGAGTGAGGTCCGGTGTCTGAGCACTCACCGGGCCATTGAGGTTTTCTCACAGATTGTAAGAATATCAATGTAGACATCGATATGGGTCAAGTCAGATGTTACAGGGAAGGTTCACAGCGGTGGCACAATGGTGGCAGTTACAATCGTGGTACAAGGTTTTGGGGGTTATGTATTTGATAAGGAAAGACATCTCGGCATTTGCCATACATATCATCTGACTTCTAACTATCTAATATAAAAGTCACAATGGTCAAGGGAAGTCCCTTGAAACTCAACAAATCCCCCAGCCAGCACCAAAACCCAGTGGGAAAGCTTGGCATGGGGTTTGGCAAAGAATGGAGCAAAGAGAATTAAGAAAGTGTCTTACCTGTGTGCATGGTCTATAAGAATCTAAGCCCATTTCCATAACAGTCACGTGGTCAAGCGGCACCTTCCGGTACTGCTTAACACGACCGTAAATTACACACCATTGTAACACTTATGGTCTGGTGTGCTGAGCGACCCCACTGAGACCTCACATCATTCCACTTTATGAGCACACAGCAAGGTGGGTATTTCATTTCTTGCACTGATCCCCTTCATTGCATCCCATGGATCGGCCCATATATCCTTTTTTTCGACTTCTCGCTTGCATCATCTCCAGAGGGGCATTCCATTTGTAAATATTCATATCATAAGTCTGGCACTTAACAAATCGTTTTCATGTCTCCATTGCATGCTTTGTACTGCGCTTGAGTATTGAAGTATGGTTGAAGACATTAAGTTTCTACAGCTGACTCTGGTGCTGGAAAGCAGTGCAGGTCGGCACGTGTGTGTCAGGGACTCGTCCAGGGTCAAGGGGGCCTGGGTGTAGCGTCTGGGGCTGAGAGCCTGACGAGGGGTGGATCGGGCGTGTGTACTCACAAGCCCGATGCAGGACAGTGGTCCCTGGCCACTTAGACTGAAGTGGAAAGTTGAGAAGAAGGCTACTTCTTCAGTTCCCACTTCAGGTTCGTTTATATACATGCGGCTTAGATCACATGACAGGTGCCACGTCACCCTCTGAAAGGTTCTGCTTACTATTTGGGGACGGTAACATTCCTTTCCCCCATTCGCCTCAGGCCTCAGTTAGTCCGTCTAAACATAAGCTTTGATGAGCTGTATATTCAACGGGGTAGAGGTAAAAGGCTACCAGGCCTTTACAACTACTCCGAGGTATATATATGTAAATTACATATCTTGGTGCAAATAAATAAAGAAATAATAGCATCACTGTAATCGGAATTATAGCGATGCAACATAATGATATCACTATAATCAGAATTATAGTGAAGTAAGGTTAATCCCTTACACCCTCGCACACAGCTGTAACCACCCAGGTGTCTCCATGGGAGATCCTGAGGGCATCCAGTGCAGGCACACGTACTGGGCATGGCTGGAAGTCGCCCAAGGTGCCTGGGCCAGGTACATGGTGGGCGCGCTGCAGATGGGTCAATGGTACATTGATACAAAGAAGGTCGTCCATGTAGAATAAAGAGAAAATAAAGAAGAAGTAAGATAGGAGGAAAGTGAGGAAGGAAGGATGAGGAGAGAGGAAGGGAAAGAAGGAGGAGGTGAGGAGGGGTGGACAGCAGGGTACCGGGTCAGGTTGGGCCGGGTGGAGCCGGGTCAGGCAGGTGTGCCCTGACAGTGTGTAAACATGCATCAGGGGGAAACAGTAATCCTAAATCCACCCCATGCTTTGTGACATTGGAGGTCGCTGGAGGTCATGTGAGAATCAAAAAAAATTACATAATAACAATGAAATGTGTTTGCAGTCTGATTCCAGATGCCATTTTGTATGTATGTAACTATTCATATTTATACTTGAACGAGATTACCATGTCAGTGAGGCTTTGGCTTAATGGCTAGTGCTGTCTGGTTGTGTTGTGTTGAGTGTGTAGGGCTCTAGTTCAATTCACTCCTGCTGTGGTCTTTTTTGTTTTTTGTTTTATTGTGTTGGGTGTTTGGGTGTTTGGGTGTTGGGTTCGGGGGTCAGGTTCGGGTCAAGGGTTGGGTGCGGGTCAAGGGTTGGGTGTTGGGTGTTGGGTCAGGGTTGGGATTGGGATTGGCGGTTGTGTATTGTGGGTATATGTGTCTATTTAAAAATGCCGCACGGGGGGTTTGGGTTGGGATGAATAATTACAAACGCCTCGCAAGCTCGGCCAATTACACTTGTACTTCGAACATTTTGCTCCTGTATATACCTCTAGCTAGAACTGAAATGAATTTTCATTTTCTATGTCTGTTTTTTGTTTGGGCACATGACCTCCGGCGACCTCTGACGTCACAAACCATGGGGTGGATTTAGGTTTAGTGGGGGAAACACTCATGAAACAGAGCTTTGACAGCCGACATTAATGTCTATCTGCGCAGTCTCAACGCGATTGTTGATACAAACCATGTAACTGCGTTCCCAGTCAGCATTTGTTGTAGGTGTTCCTCGTCCTGCGTGTGGACCTTGTTCAGTTCAAAATAGTTCTTCACACCACACTTCGAAGTTAGCTTCACCATTGTATGGTTCAGGCCCTTTGACCTTAACACGCGAGCCAGATCTGAGTCACTTGAATGTATGGTACTCGTTTTAAATGATGAATCGGATGTCAAGCTATCGCTACCATCGTCAGACGGATCAGGAGTGAAGTGGTTTGCGATGAAAGATGAGGGAGGGACGAACAACGATGCTCTAGCATCGTATGGTTTCGTACCGTGGGTTTCGCCTTATATCCTTCATCCAACTTGACCTCCTTCGAGGTAGGGGGGATTCACGTTTACTTGCTTTGTATTTGGCGAGTCTCTCGAAACATTACAGCTTCAGTAGTAGAACGGAATAGTTTGTGATTTAGGCCCGTCTGAGTCAGGTGCGAGGTGCCATCAGATTCCTCAGACAAAGGCTGTAAAACCGAGGTAGTTTCTCGACCCTTGCCCTTCGGGGTCGATGTAGATGCTTCAGCGGTCTTGATCTCCGTAGCAGAGGAGATCCGGGTTGTTCTAGCCTTGGAGTGAGTGTCCATCCACATGTCCGGTGGTGGAGGTTCTTGGGCTCATACTTCATGACGAGCTCGTGGAAGCGGGCGATCTTACTGAAGGCGTCATCCAATTGACAGAATATCGGAGAGGGAGAAGTGGCGACGCGGTCTGAGGTGCATGGATGGGCGATGCGCTAGATCTATCGCTAGGTCTCCTAGCTCGAGGCTTCAGTTCAGTGTACAAGTCCGTGTAATACGTATCTCCTTCGTCACGAGGGCATCTCGTTCAGGGGCATCCGCAACGCAGGCATCCTTTATTTTATCACGAGTACAAGAGGGGATGTATCTATTAGAGACAAGGTCGACGTCCCACTATTATGGCGCACGGACTCACCAGCCGCAGGAGATTTTCCAGAATTCCCAATCCATCTTTCTTGTTGATAGGCGGCGTTGTAGGCTTAAAAGCCACTCGTTGCGACCGTTTTTTCCTCTCTCCTCAGTTACACTATCGTGAACTGAGGTGAGGTCTCTTTTCTTGGTCTCATTAGACCTTTTTACTTAAAACATCTTTCATTGTCTAGCGCTGATCTGTACACGCTAGTTCTCTCACAGTATCATCCTCATATACATCCTCGGCTGCGAGGGCGTCCTCACCTTGAGGGAGGGAAATATAACATCCGCGCCTCCATCCTCAACTATGAGAGCTTCCTCGACCGATCGGGAGGGAATAACGGGACTAGGCCCGCGAGCAGAATGCACATCGCTCTCAAAATAAACTGAAGTACTCACTGGATCTCCCATAGATCCGTCGGGGTCTCGTACTTCCGCTACGTCGTACTCGTCGGCGCTCTTCGCTGCTTCGGCGTTGGCTGTTCTAGGTTTCGGCGCTAAGGTATTAACAGAGCCAGATCGGGCGCACCTACCTACCCGTGGCATGTAATTCCGTCTGCTCCGTCGGTTCATCATGTTGCAACGTGTTTCGTGGAAGGAGGTAAGGATAGGGAGACTCGGGGTGGCCAGTCCCAACCTGATCGAAAGAGAGAGGTTCGATCAAGGGTGAATCAAGTTGTACGTGGAGTGGGAGCTCTTCAGGTCGGGCGATGCCGACAATCGAGCGGTCACGCAGGTAAGTCACTAGTAACAAGCTCGATTGGGTGTCAGATATGTACAAGAGGAGCTCCGTAAACTATGTAAACTTGTTTGTTTCTTGCCTTATGTACAGAGGGAAATAGCGGTATCGCCTTACAAATTGCTCCAACACCATCATTTCCGGCATGCAAATACTCTGAAGAACAATTCGAAGCAGCAATGAACGTTTCGAGGGTATTACAATTCTCGGCTTCGACAACCAAGCGTTATGCAGCTAGCCCCCTGACTAAACTCCCGACCCTGCGTTGGTCGCTGCATCCAGCACTGCCAGTGGCCCTTATGCACACAACTCCGAGGAGCAATAGCCCAGATCTAAGTACGTCCAGGTGTTATCTGACGCTGTGCACCCACCCACATCCCAAGTTGGATCATGACCGATTCGGGTACACTCTCCGCTAGCATTGGTGCTGTTCCACCGCATCATGTCATAGGAAACCGTAATCGTAACCCCGCAAATTTGAACCTCCTGACTCCCCCCGAAGGCTATGGCAGCGACATCGGGGGTCCCTACCACGTCCCCTATCTTAGAGCACAGGTCTGTTGGATAGAACATTAGTCAGACCGGAGCAAATTTCATTTCTTGCTTCGGCTCACCAAGTGCTGATGGGACTAGAATACGCCATGATTGAGCCCACCTCGCATCGTTTGTAATCCTAATCCATTGTCCAAGGTGGAAATCAGCGGCAATGACAGGAAGTAGACCAATTGGGACCAAAGTATTCCAGAATCGCATCGAGACTTTTGATGAACTGCTACTATTATGCTGGTAGTGTACATGGCATGAGTAGCTATTCACGCCACATGAGTCAAGGAGTTCTAACCTCGGTCTGGGGCAGAATGCGTAGAAAATGGAGGGAAGCCGGTGGCCACTTTCAGTGGTATATAAGTGGCATTCTTTGAGGAATGAAATATTCTTAATAATTTTTGCTTAGTGGAAATCCCTAGCATTTCGCTAGTGTGCCATTAATATTGCTGATATCGTGCATATCACAGGCATGATTAATATCGCAGTTGAACCCGTGGTACATAGGCCATACCCGAGATAACGCATGACCTGCCATTACCCGTGGAAATTTCTGGGAGCCGGTATGGTTCCTGTTGCCTAACCCATAGCCTGCCATAATGTAGGGAAATTTTTATATTGGAATTTCGCGAAATTTGATCAGTGTATGAGTGAGATTGACATGTAAATATTTAACAGTTATTGAAGGTGGAATGATGGGAGCGGCTAGTGTTGTGAGCACAGGGTACTGTCTTAGCCGAACTGGGAACACAATCTACTACAGTTGAAACCGTGATAACCCATACCCTTGCGTTCCTGGATCCTAGTATGGGTTATGGCAGGTTATGGGCTATCTCAATATCGCCGGAAATTTGCTCTGCAATGGATTGGGTCAATTCATGTATATACATAAATGTCTATTGAGCTCCTCTATGCAACAAGGAATCAAGTGTGCTGCTCCAGAGTGATGATTGGGCTTGGTGGTGAGTCTCACATCCAAACTGGGCTTCTTGACATGAGATGATTGGCATATCGTCATCAGGATCATCAACTCACAGTCCCCTTCCACCATGCTGTCCATTTCCTTGTTTCTCCAGGCCTCAGACATGGCATTTAAGATGTCATCGCCATGCTACTCTATCGTTTCTGAGTCGCCCGTTGCACACAAGATGTGGATGACCTCTGATGGGTTGTTTACCAGTTCCACAATACTCATCCTATTTCTCCTATTAAGGATACCCTCTTTTCATAATATTTTCTGTGTCATTCCATGATTATTAACTGTCACTAAACATTTACATGTCACACACTATGGGTTACAGATCAAATTTCAATATAAAAATCCCCATTCACATTATGGGTTATGGGGGATGGCAGGGTTATGGGTTAGGGTCTGGTTTTTGATAGGAACCGTAGCAGTTCCCGGAAATTCCTATGGGTTATGGCAGGTTATGTGTTATAGGAATGGAGTCTCTTGCAACCGTGTCAACTGAACGTCAACCACAGCAGGTCCTCCTTCTCCACATCCTCCCTTCTCTTTCTTACATTCTCCCCACTTCCCCCCTTCTTACACACTCACTCCATGCTAAGCTTTCCCTTATTGGGTTTTGGTGCTGGCCAGATTATTTATTCTATTTCGCGAGATTTCTCGTGATCATTTCTTATTCAATAGTTAGCATCACGTTCATGTATGGCTACAGCCGAAAAGATGGAACTTAACGAATAACACACCCTCATCTTCTGTGCAACAACTGTAAACCTTCTTGTGCCAACACTGTAATGTCTGTGTAAGATTGTGTATGTCTCGGTCACCATCTATATGGGTCATCCCCGCCGAGGTTGACGACTCTAGCCATGGATCGTTGAGTTCGTGCATGACTCAACTCAGGTATGCACAAACACCTTTTGTTACGACTGTCAGGGATGCGTCCGGGGTCCAGAGGGCCTGGGGGTAATGTCCAGCACTGAAGCTGTCACGGGGTGTGGAGCGGGCGTGCGTACTGGTGGGCCCGATCCGGGACAGTGGTCCCTGGCCACTCAGTCTGAAGTGGAGAATGTGAGAAGAAGGTTACTTCTTTGGTTCCCACTTCAGGTACATTTATGTACATGTGGCTTGAGTCACATGACGAGTGCCACGTCATCTTCGGAGGCAGCTGCAGGCATCCGGGTGTCCCCATGGGGGATCCCGAGAGCGTCCGCTGCATGCGTGCATGCTGGGCACAATGGGAAGCCGTCTGGGGTGTGTGGGCCGGACGAGTCAATAGTACATTGATACAAAGGAAGGTGGTCCGTGTAGATAGAAAGAAATAAACAGGAAGAGGAAGATGAAAAGAAAGAAATAAAGAAAGGGGAAGGAGAGGGAGGAAGGAGGGGGGAGCGGGATAGACAGTGGGGAGCGGGTGTGGTGTGGCCAGGTGGGTCCGGGTGGACCCGGGTCAGGCGGGTGTGCCCTGACAACGACTCACATCGCTCACCCAGGTACTGGGCTCACGTCTGTCTCACCTTATGGTGAGCATCTGGTTAACTCTATGGATGGATTGGTATTCGATACAAGCCCATTCCCCTCGTCGCTGGTACGCTCTCATGAGCGCCAAGTAGCCGTCAATCCCACCACATGTCGTTCGACCTACAATCGACTAACCCCTCCATCACCGGTACGCTCTTACGAGTGCCAAGTACCTGTTGACACGAATTCAGACCATTCGCCAGATGAACAGTCTCATACCTCATTGTCAGTATGCCCATCTGGGCACCAAGTATCTGTCAACCCAGCCTCTAGTAGCTCCCTCAAGGAGCTAGAATCTTACTCGTTGCCGGTACACCCAATTGGGTGCCAAGTACCTGTCAACCAAATCTCAGGAAGCTCCCTCAAGGAGCTGATATATCACTCGCTACCGGTACGCTCCCTCGAGCGCCAAGTACCCGCTAGCCCTTTGTCCTCGACTGGTCCCGTTCTGGATATTCCTTTTACCTGTGATCCTATACACCCGCGCACGGTATGCTCACATAATGAGTGCCAAGTATCCGTCATAGCAGACTCCCATTCACCACGAGGTCTCAGCTTTCTGTCAAAAGCTCCAAGGCTATCGGACAATTCTCATTACACGACTAGGCCGCCCTACATACATGAGGTGGATGATTCCAAGTCATCTATAAGGATGGAAAGAAATGGATTACCCATAACCCATTTCTTTAACAGTGGTGCCCCAACCCCGGTGCAACTAGATCGCACCATGCCACTAAGGACACCAGCTCAATCGACGCACAACCATGATGCCTTGGCGTCATCCACACAAGACACCCTCTCCTACCAGGTACCCGACTCCGCAGCAACGTCTTCCCCATGGGGTGATGTGCAAACCTCGCCTGAAGCCGTTTGGAGGCGATGAGATCTCACATTCATCATAGAGGCCATCAGAGAGTTCGAGGGTGGAGTTTTCAATGATCCTGATGCCCCTACGACCAAAATCCATAATTGGCAGAGAATCATGCCAGCCTGGCTCGAAAGAGAACTCGTCCCCGATGACGGTGCTAAGCCAACACTGCGATACCGGCTCGTGCCCCTAGATCGACTAGGATTGACTGATATGTTCTCGAAGATTTCAGCGTTCACACGTCTGGCCGCTGCCACCAAATTTGCCACAGGCGAATTCATCATAGACCCGCATGGCAATTTCTCACTCATGCTGGCTGAGAAAGGCTGGGCATCACAGAAGGAATTCGATATTGTATGGCACTTCCTTGACCAATGGCTCAATGCCTTTGAGAAGCATTTCGATTCCATAAAAAGGGCTGTCGACCCTTCACGAGAGTTTGACAAATCGCGGCTCGGCGGTTTCAGGCCGGCCAGTGTGCCACATACCACTTTCACTGATCTGGAATCGGTCGAAAGGGCATGGTCCGCAGAGATTAGGCCTACCCGCAAGTCGACCCATGAGATGTTGGGTTGGGAACTAAACAGTCAGTGCGAACCAGCAGTCGACGAAGTCACCTTCATACATCAACGCCAGCAGCTGCCAATAGAGCTCCCTGTTCCCAGGCCCAGCATTAACGTCGCTGCAGCGATGTTACGAAGGGATGAAGGGACCGTACCAATGATGGACTGTCCTCGTGAATCCTATATGCTCCATGATCCCAAGAAAGACCTGGACTATGCAGAATTTGTTCAAGGCCTCAAGGGCAGAAAGACAGAGGTGGGCCCTGCCAACGAGAGGTATCAGAACAATAGGAACAGACCTGGGCCCAATATGGGTCCCGCCCGCTCCTTGTTTCGAGATCCTCTCGCTCCTATAAACCTCGGTATGGAGCCAGTTAGATCTGGATCCCAACCGTGGCCACAATATCGCCGAGGCGACGAACCACCACAGCCGCCTGCTCCTCCAGACCCACCTCTAGCCCAGGGTGGGCCACCTCCACACAACTATCCACCGCCTCCGTCAGGAGGTCAAGCAGGTGCGCCCCCTCCACCACCGCTCCTGCCAGGGGTCAAGCAGGTGCACCGCTGCCACCGCCACCACCTATGCTAGGAGGTCAGGCAGGGGCGCCTCCACCTTCACCACCTCCAGGGCCGGGCGCTGTAATTCCTCACCAAATCAGGCCATACCTCCCATTTGACCGGACACAACCTTATGTCGATCGTAAGTACACTACGTCAGATTTCCCCGAGTTCGATGGCTCGATCGACAGCTATATAACCTGGTGCAGTATCTGTCGAAACTTAGCAAGACACTTGGCAGCCTTCACCCAACAAATGGCAGGAGTCCTGCCTGAGAGGTTTAAGGGCAAACTTGCGGACTGGTGGACTACTGTCCCAACAGCCGACAAGCTGTATTTCACCCAAAATTGGGAGGCTCTACACAGCTATATATTACACTACTTCTTGATGCCTGTGTTTATCGACAAAATACGAGAGCGTTTCCACTTGTGTCGATACCATAAAGGTGAGGGTCACATGAGAGAGACACCGCTCGATTTTGTGACATGCAAGTTGCGATTACTTTGTACTCTCTACCCTCTGGCCAACGTACCAAGTCAGGATGTCCTGAAGGGTGAAGTCCAAAGGTTATTGGAGGACGTTCCCAGAGGATGGTGGGCCCATGTTAACATTGACCATCTTGAGACAGCGGAGGCACTCCAACGAATGGTTGTGCTCAAACACGACGAGCTGGTGGCCACCAAAGAGTTCAGCATCAACACCATTGCCAACAAGGTTGCCAGGTGGAACTTCGAAA